CGGCACCCGGCCCCGGGACGGCCCGGGGGTTCGCGAGCTCCGTGGGTGCGAGCCGGGCGTCGGGGGAGCAGTGGCAGCCATCCCGGCTGTTGCCTCTCGCCGCCTGCGCTCAGCCGCAGTTGCCCGACGGGACAGGGGCCTTCGGACAGGAGGAGTTAGAGGAGGACGATGCTTTTACTAGCGTGCAGGTGCCGGCGGCCGCCTTCTTGGGCTCCGGGACCCCCGGGAGTGGGAGCGGCAGTCGGGGCCGCCTCAACTCGTTCACTCAGGGAATCCTGCCCATCGCCTTCTCCAGGCAGACTTCGCAGAACTACTGCTCTCTGGAGCAGCCCGGCCAGGGGGGCAGCACCAGCGCCTTGGAGCAGCTGCAGAGGTCCCGGTGAGTACCCAGGGCGCGACGCGCTCCTCACCCGGCGTCTGCCCCGTCCGCTCTATGTGCCCAACCTACGAGGCACGTGCAAGAGAAGTGTGTGTTAACACGTGTGCCCACGAGCCGGGCACTCGCGGTGTCGAAGTATCGTGCTCAGGCGGAGGGTCCGGAGTTAGGAGTTTGCGCGCCCATTAAAAAGCGGCACTGGGATTTCTACCACTGCTGCAGACTGCAGGCGCGCACTGACTTGCCAGGGGAGACTTGAAGCGGCGCTGAGTAGAGCAGGGGTCTGGCGGGCGGCTGAGCGGCGCAAACACTCCGTAAATTCCTCCTGAGAAGTTCCTGTCCGCACACAAAGTATTCCTGTGTCCTGGGAAAACTTGTCATTTTTTGTTACTTTCCTAAGAACTTTTTTACATATCCTTGACCTGGGCTTTGGGGGTGGGATGGGGTCAGGAAGGAACTAGGTCTTGAAAGTTTGGAAGTTTCGCTTTGCTTTTTTTTTGTTTGTTTTATTCCAAGATAAAATTGCTAGGTAGTCAAGTCAAGTCAAAAGCTTTACTTGCTGCATATCTGCAGGTATTATGCATCTTAGCAAAATGAATTGTTGGACACTTGCTTACTGTTGAGGAAACAGCTGGTGCTTGTCAGCGTATGGTCAAGGGACAGTTCGGGAGTGAGTTTGGTCAGTTTCAGGCAATGACACTGGAGATTGATTGGGCAGGGCCCCTGGGTGGAGCAGAGGAATGGCAGGCCTTACCTTAATGGGCCTCCTGTGAAGCTGAAGTTGCAATATAGGTGCCAGCTTCTCTTAGTTGTGTTAACCCCCTGGTCCTCAGTTCCCTCTACTGCAGTAGGACCTTACCAACATTTTGCAAACCTCAAGATGAGAAGGGAAGGGAGGACTTTTCTTTTATTATTAAAGCCTCTCTCCTCACTGCCCCAACTGATAGACTCACTATCAGTAAGCCTAAGTAAGAAGGTGGCTAATTGGAAAACTTAACATCCTCCCTCCTTGGATAAACCGGGAAGACGAACAAGTCACGCTCATCAAGAAGTTTGATCATCCCAAGTGGGGGAGATCACAGGCTGTGGCATAGCAGTGCGGATGCTTGTGGGTTCCAGGCACGGGTCAGTGCTGGAAGGCAGCAGGGGTGAGTTAGACACAATGAACACAGGTGACAGCCCAGCCTGGCATTTCTTGCCAGCATGAGTCTCTCCAGTAGTGGGTCAGGGAGAAGAGGGGAAGCCCTTCCTCTGGTCTGGAGGTGCACACTCAACAGTTTTTGGGCAGTGCAGTGTTGCCTTTAGACAACACACTAGCACATAATGACTCCATACACTGACTTCCTCACGGATCCTCTCCTGTGATGTCTTCTTTTCAATTGAATTGTTTCCAGCTAGTTTAGCCGGTCACGGCAGGAGATATAATACACGTACATGTTATTCTAAGCCAGTGTGCGAGGCTGGCCTGCATGTGCTGGTAGACAGATGTATTGCAGTGCAGAAAGCAGCTGGTGATCAGATTACCTCACATTTTTTTCTCCAAAATGTTATTTCAGGGAATATGGAGAATTGTGTATGTTAGGAATTCTGATCTTAGAGAACTGAATCTCTGATTCTACAAATACGAACCCTTGAGATGTCATATTGATATCTACATCCCATGTGTAAAACTGAGTTAGTCAATAGAAGATGCTTTTTTCCTTCGTAATTACATCGATCTTACTCCTTCATTAATTGCTAGATATGGTTACTAGTAATAGCATTTGTTGTTTAGATGTATGGCAAGGAGGTAGATTAGTAAAATAGTGATGTAAGACAGGTGTTGAAGGGCTAACTTGTTTTTTTCTTCAAGTGGTGATGAACTTGAAATATCCTAGGATGCTTTGTTTCCTACACTCTGCTGCTTTTAAGAAATTTGTCAGGCCTGTGCTGCTTTTGTGATCACTAAGAGTATGCTCACCTGCCTAGACATGGTGTGACTTAAGACTACAAGCTCATTTGAGTAAGGCCACCTTAGAGAATGCCACTTGCTTTTCTGGCACGTCTCCTTGGAAGAAACCTGATCGCCTGGGCAGCCCCATATACTACTTCATGGGTCTTCTCCAGGGATGTCTTTTTTAAAATGAAATTGTTTTCCTTGGATTGATTTCATGCTGTTTCAGGAGCTCCATACATAGCACCTTGTGTTCAAAAGTGTGGGCATGTGTACCTGCAGCTTTACAGGAACTCCTAGAAATGCAAACTCAGGCCCCACTCTGGTTACTTGAGTTCAAATCTGCATTTTAACAAGATCCCTGGATGACTCATACAAATGAAAGTTTGGAAAGCACATGTTACCTTTTTTTTTTTTTTTAAGATTGATTTATTTATGCATACAGAACTGGGGTATAGGCCAGAGGTATGGAGGGTGAGAGGATTCACCAGAGACAGAGTAGGGTGCAGAACAGGGAGAATGATGAAGTACACTGCTGAGGGGAGCAAAGGTGAGGAAAGGTCTGCCATGCCATGTGGTCACCTCGGGGGCTGGGGATCAAACAGGCACTGAAGTGACTGCTGCTAGCTTGCAGTGCTGTGCTTTAAACCCACTGTGTCACCAGCGAGGGCCACCTTCTTCTTTTTTAAATGAATTTAAGATTTCATGTACTGGATTTGTTTTGGGTATATAAAGTCAGGATTTTCTGTCCTGAGATCTTGAAGTCCTTTTCTTTTCTGTGACTTCCATCTAGGTAATTGTAAAACCAATCACAAATATTGCTTAGGCTTCAAAACATTGAAATAGGACAGGGAGGAAGTTTTTGTGTCCAGACCCTGGCACAGATGTGTTCATAAAATGATGACACCCTATCTCTGTGCGCCAAGTTGGATATTACTAGACATTGATCATGTTGACTCTTCACAGCCATCTATTGTGTAGGTTTTCTCACAGACTCCATTTTAATGAGGGTGGGAACTCAGGTCTCTGACATCCAAACCTGGTATACCTCCTGGTTTTGCTCTGTCTTGCACACAGCAGGCAGGGTTAATTTTGGAGTTGTTAGCTGTAAATGTCCAGGCTAGAGCAGGGTAGTCATATGGGTGAGTCTGTAGTCCCTTTACTAGCCAGCCCCACCCCCATTTTATGTCTTTATTTGGGGTCTCCAACTTTGCTGCTACTTTCCTGTGCTAGTCTCCACAGGACAGTGTGCTGACATAACTCTGGCCCAGAGAAGTCAACATGCCTGGGTTTGCTCCCTGGTGAGGTGAGAGGCCAAGAAGATGCCTTCTAGCTTGACACTGCTTTCTTTGCTAGGGAGCAAGTTCTGCATAAGGAAGATGGTAATACGTGAGAGAGAGTGTAAATTTACAAGGTGTGTTTTAAGGCTTTCTTAAAGCTGGCAGCTGTCCCTAGTTACTCACTTCCTAGAGCTGCCGAGTGGCACTCCGCCACCCAGGAGTGCACAGAGTAAGCACAGGTGAAGTGTGTGTACCTTCAGGTCCGATGGGCGGAGCGTACCAGGATGTTATTTCAAAATAACACAGGCATTAATAATACCCGCATTAGCATCGTGTCTTGTGGAACTAGGTCTTAAGTGGAAAGAGGGCATGTGGTATGGAATATCCCCAAATCTTGGGTTCAAATTCTGCTACTTCCAGAAGACCTATTCTGAGTCTGCTTTCTCCTGAAAGCTTGGGTTCTTTCTATTCGAAGGTTGACTTGATTGCTGTGGGCATGTGATAAACGCTCTTTATCTGGCTTCTCAAATGTAAATGTATTTAGAATCACCTGGGACTCTTGATAAACAGATTCTGAGCCTGCAGGTCTGGGAAAATTACTGATTCTGCATTTCCAGCCTGCTCCCTGGGGTGCAAATAGTCAAACTTTGAAGAATGCTTTACCTTGTACTGTGATTATTCTTATTATAAGACTGAGGAAGCCAGGGCTAAATGATGTTAAGTAACCTGCTCAAGGTCACACAGCCCTGGGGGTCAGACTTCTTAGGCTCCTATACAACTACTTTGCATATTTTTCTAACCCACATTCCTCCTTTTATATAGCCTCTCTGGAGGTAAAACCTGGACTCCTGCTGTGCAGATAGTCCCTATGTTCACTGACATATGTGGGTGACTGTGGCCTCAACAACTAGAATGAGCTGGGAGATGGATGTTTTTACTGATTTGTCATCACCTGGTTTTGTGAGTTAGGCAAATTATTCTTCTGTGTACTCCAGTTTTCAGCCTCCTGAGAGGAGTTTGGAGTTCAGAAGGCATAAAGGACTGTGATCTCCTTAGCTGTAAGCAAACCCAAGTTTTTCTTGAGCCACCTTGGGAGCAACATGAGTTATGGAAGCCAAGCAGCAACCTCAGGCTGGGCCAGGCCCTGGTCAGGATGCTCACCTGATACTTCTGCACAGGTCCTGCCCTGCCAGGGGCCAAAGCCAGTGGCCAAAGGCTCACCTGCTGCCCGCCTGCTCACAGTCACAAAACCTGTCTTATGGGCAAACTGGGAAGGGGAAATAAATTGGAAGCGTCCTCACAACCAGCCAGGGTCCCTTGGAAGGCCGCAAGTTGAAGTGTGACCTTTTGCCTTCCCAGAAGAGTGGAGGATGCCTCAGCCTGGCTCTGCACCACTGGCCTGGACTTCTACTATCAAGATGAGAGCTGTTGGGTAGGGAGAGGACCTGTGGCCTTCAGAGCACAGAGGGAAGGAAAGGCAGGTGAAGTGGGTGAAGTGGGTGACATGGCAGGCATGAGGAATGCCAAGCCCTACTTGGCCACCCTGCAGCCATGGCTGACCCACCTGGATTGTCACTTCACCCTTCACAACCTAATTAGGGGCAGTGAGCACGCCGCCTCCCAGGTCTATCTAGCACTCTGCGCCTTAGACCCATGCCTTGGTGTAAGGCCCGGCAGGTTTCTCTTGGGGATGTGTGGATAAGCTAACATCAGAATTAAGATGCCAAAGTGGCTTTGAGTTCATTCCATTGGAGCTCCAGGTGGTGGGATGGGCATTAATGAATGAGGGT